CGTGGGCACCTGGAGCGGCCGGGGGCGCGGGCGGGCAGCGGAGGGGCTGGCGCTCTGGGCACCAGTGCCCGGTCGCCCACAGAAGAGCAGCAGCCACAGAGGCGACTGGGTGTGGGCAGACGTGCTGAGGGAGGCCGGAAAATGGGGCGCAGCATGGGCGGGGCCCCCGCCTGGTCTAGGGACAGCGAGGGACACTGAGGTCACCCTCCCTGCATCTCCTTGCAAGGACACTCTTGGAGTCGGCGTGACAAAGTCATCCGGGGGGACCCACCCACGGATGGACACGAGGCTCTCGGACGCTGACAGGGTGGGGTCCGGCACACACTCATGGAGCCGCCTCAGGCCGGTCCCAGGGGGCAGGCACGGAGGAGCTGGGGGGCCAGAGGGGCGGGGCTCCCCGGCAGGGCCTCGGGAGGACAGGAGCGTGGTGGCCAGCCGCCGGCGCGCCACACTGTCTCGCAGTCGCTGGCTGAGGGCGGCGTCTCATGCTTCTCCCTAAATCCCGCGGGGGGGGGGCTTCCCCCATGAAGCTCTTCACCTGCGGCCCCCGGACAGGCTCTGACCGGGGCGCGGGGCGGTCCGAGAGCCTCGTGTCCATCCGTGGGTGGGTCCCCCCGGATGACTTTGTCACGCTGACTCCAAGAGTGTCCTTGCAAGGAGATGCAGTGGGAGCCCCTCCAGGCCCGACCCCGTCTGCCCCCGCCCCTGGGCCCCTCTTGCAGCCACGGTGCGCATCGGGAAGTGACCTGCTCGGGGCACCTCGCTCCCCAGGCCCTTCCTACCCAGCGGGCAGTGGGCCGGCACGCCCCAGCCGGAAGGTCAGCGGACGGTCACTGCTGGCCACTGCCGCGCTCGCCGGCCCAGTTCCTGAGGGGCCCCTGTGGGGCTTTCTGGGCTTGCGGAGTCCTGTCCTGGCCCCCCAGCTCCCGGTCCTGTGAGGCTCCTGAGTGCCCCTCCGTGGCCCCCGGCGTCCCTGGAGCCGCAGGCGCCCTCGCCGTCCGCCGCCCATCTGTCCGTGGTCAGGTGCGCTCCTGGGCCCTGCTCCCTGAGACTTCCCCGGACGCGGCTCCCCGGGGACGGTCTGAGGCGGTGCCGCGGTGCTGGGTGCCGGCGCTGAGAGTTGTAGCTGAATTCGGGTCCCTCGGTGTCCCGGG